GCCTTCTTCTCTTCCTTCTTCGCCTTCCCGGAAAGAGCAGATGACCGAGAGTAAAACGAATGGGAAATCAAACAGCTTTCCCACTTAGAGGTCTGGGGCTTAAGATTCAGGGTTTACGGCTTGGGGATGTTTAGGGTTGTTTCTTCAAGGTTTGGGGTTTCGGGGGGGGCATGCTAGTCCTTTCAAGGAACACAGTCAGGGTCCCTTACCCTGGTCCTGGCAGCTGAGAAAAACAACCTACAACCCCAGGCCTTCGGGTTTAGGCGCTTTAAGGTTCAGGGCTAAGGCTGAAAAGAGTTTTCAGGTCGGGCTTGAGGCTCTATGGGGTAAGGGTCGAGGCCATTCTCCGGATGCGGAAGTAGAATAGTCCTTTGGGGTCTAAGGCATCCTCACCCACCCTCCTGCAAGAACCGTTTCCCAAAGTTGGTCTGAGCCCCAAGCCCTGACATGCGNNTTTAGGGTTTAGGGTTTAAACCCAAATCTTACCCCAATAATCTCGACGCGGAAAGCCCAATCTGGGGGCCTGAGCAAGTAGAAAAGCGCTTTGGGGCCCCTAAACCCTAAACCCTAAACCCTAAACCCTAAACCAAACTTTGGGGTATAAGATATCCTTGCCCACCCTCCCGCAAGAACCGCTTCCCAAAGCTTTTGTCTGAGCCCCAAGCCCTGACATGCGATCATCCAAAGCCCCAAACCCCGGCACCTCACGACAGCCCGGCATCGTGACTTTTAGGGCTTAGGCTCACGAGGGTTCAGGCTGAACAAAGCTCGATGGGGTTTTGTAGGACCCCGGATAGTTTAAACTCCACTCCCACAACCTCTAACTCTAAGCCGAAGAACCCCCCCCCCGAAATCGTGAAAATCCCTCTAAACCAAGAACAATTCTCCCTGAACCCCTGCAACACCCGTCAAGCCCTATCTATCCGTCCGTCTATCTATCTGTCCGTCCGTCCGTCTGTCTGTCTGCCTGCCTATCTACCTAGCTATCTACCCAACCACGTATCTATCTATTCATCTTCATACACATGCTGCAAAACTCGATACCGCTGTAAGACCCTTACTAAAACCTATGATAGGCCGACATGAAGAATCCTGACACTCATCCCGAAACCTGCAAAACACCTATTCCTGAATCCCGAAGAGTGGGATGTCGTCTTCCTGTTCCTGGCCCCCTAATTACAAACCTATCAAAACCAGTTACAAAGCAAAACATAAATATATATATAAACATACATATGTCTGAAAAAATGGGCCCAAATCGCCTGCACAGGGCAGGAATATTGTAGGCCCCAGCGCCCTCCATGAGTGCGTCTGCCGGCTACATTTTGGTTTCGCCCCCCACCCGACGTGTTGGTGTTCATGGGTACGAAGGAGTTTGCGGATGGCTTCAAGAAGACGCTGGCTTTCCGGTGCGCTCCATCAAGCAGAACAGAGTCTCGCCAGGTGGCCATGTTGAACATTGGTCTGGAAGACACAGTCGCGTACTACACGGTTGAGGACTTTGCGGCTGGCTTCAAGAAGACGCTGGCCTTCCAGACATGCGTTTTCAAGCAGGACACAGTCGCATACTACACGGTAAAGGAGTTTGCGGCTGGCTTCAAGAAGACGCTGTCGTTCCAGACGTACGTTTGCAAGCAGAACAGGGGCTCGGCAGAACAGGGGCTCGTCAGCAGAGGGCATCTGGATCATTACGCGGAAAGCTGGCACATACTTCACTTCACCCGATGTGCTGGCGTTCATGGGCTTGAGTCGCACGCTGTGTAAGTTGGCCATGTTGAACAATGGTATGGAAGACACAGTCGTGTACTACACGGTTGAGGAGTTTGCGGCTGGCTTCAAGAAGACGCTGGCATTCCAGACGTGCGTGTGCAAGCAGAACAGCGGCTCGTCAGGAGGGCATCTGGATCATCTAACCGAAAGCTAGCTTCGCGTTCATGGGCGCGAGGGACATGCTGGCCATGTTGAACATGGTTCAGGAGGACACGCTCGAAGTCTTGCCGAGCCGCACGCCACCGAGCAGAACTGAGGCTCGTCATGCAAGGGCAGCTGCATCATCCAACTGAAAGCTGGCAACTACTGCACCTCGCCTGACATAATGGCCTTCACGAACGCGAACGATACGCAGTGCAAGGTGGCCATGTTGAACTTTGTTTCGCAAGACATGTTCGCATGCTACATGTTAGAGGAGCTGGCGGTTGGCTTCAAGAAGATGCAGCCTTTCCCGCTGAGCAGTTCCTGATTAAGTGAACGATGCAAGAACGGCTTATCTCTGAGTGCGGAGGTCCTACTTGTACGGCCTTCATGCTTAAAAATGTTGCTTTCGTAGCAGTTGCTGATGTCCCGATATCACCTCGTTGAAGGTGTCTTGACATCTTAGGTATTTTAATTGTGTAGGGATGGCCTCAGCCGATACTCCTGAAAAAGATCCCGAAATCTTGAGGCCGAATCCGATTCACAGCTTTGATTCGGATGGTAGTTTAACTGGTGCTTTGATAGCCGGCAACGGAATACAAAGCATCCCTTGTCGGCCGAGCATGCTCTCGCTAGTCGGAATTTTTCTGATGACAGACTGAGTGGCCACCAGATTTGGCATTTCTCTAATGGCTTCCATGTGCCAAACGCTTGATTTTGTTGTAGGGGTGGGACAGTTTTCCGTCTGCTGGTTACATCCCACCCCGGTCTGGTGTGCGCATACCATGTGTATAGATTTCTGTGCCACTTCCCACTGTTTCATTAGTGCATGCCAATACGGCCGCGTCCGACTGGGACTCTGTGCCTTGAAAGCGTGATGTATGTATAAAACCCAATACCCTCATCCCCAAGCGCTCGGTAGCAACCCTATACACACCTCGTGAAGCCTAAAGACCCTAATCCCGACTCCCCGGAGGGGCCCTCCCTAGACGCAAAATCCCAAAGACCCTAACCTGAACCCCAAAACCCACAACCCCAAACCCCGGCAGCCCCCGAACCCTAGACCCCTAAACCCTAAACCCCTTTTTTCCTACACCCCTCAACCCTACCTAGAGACTCCAATATCCCTTAATTAAGGAATATACCTTACATCATATTAGGGATCCTACTATATTTTAAGGAATATTCCTTGATTGAGGGATATTGGAGTCTCTGCGTACCACCCTAAGAATCGGGGCCTCCTTCTTGGCCTCCTTGGTGCTCGGAGCAGCCGCTGAGGAGGCAGATCCGGAGGGCGCCGCCATGCCGAGCCCAGGGATGTCCTCGGCATCTTCAAAGAAAAATTTAGGGCATTTGGGTTTAGGGTTTAGGGTTTTAGGGTTTAGGGTTTAGGGAGGGCATTTGGGCTGTCGGTTTGAGGTTGAGGGTTTAGGGCGTTTTGGGTTTCGGGCTTTGGGGTTTTTGGGCTTTGGAGCTTAGGGTTTTGTGGCTGGTTCAACAGCTCCTTTTCCATCAGGGGTTCAGGGCTTCGGGTCTGGAGTTTGGGGTTTTGGGCTTGGGTCTTTGGGTCTTGGGCTTTGGGTGTAGGGTGCTGGGCTCAAGGGTTTGGAGCTTTTGGCTTGGCGTCGTGGGTCCAGGAATTTCGGGGAAAAAGATGGCATAAATCTATGCGAAAGGCCGATCAGGTTTCAGGATGTTGGCCTTTAGGGTTTAGGTGTTTCGGGTTTAGGGTTTAGGGTTTGGGGCTTTTAGTGTTTAGGGGTTTAGGGGTTTAATGGGTTGAGGGTTTGGGGTTCGGATACATTTGGGCTCGCTGGCAAAGAAACTCGACAGTCTATCCTGTAGGAATCGAAAGGCTCGAATCTCCCAAGTGGGTAGTTCCCTAAATTAGGGTCCCTTTTTGTTTGTCCTTTTTATAAGGGAGCTGTACCATATTCGGAACTTTAGAAAGCGGGGCCCTAATTCAGGTAACTAACCATTAGATGGGTGAAAGCAAAAATGCCTTTGGTCAAAGGACTTGTTGAGCTTGGGGGCTTAAGATTTTGGGGCTAACAGGTTTGTTTATTGGGCATCGGTTTTTGGGCCCAGAAGGATGGGGTTGAGAAGTCGGGAGGATTTAGTGTTTAGGGTTTAGGTTTCAAGGGTAAGAAGTCGAACATAGGGGCTCAGGTTTGTTTTGGGGGGCACATGTTAGTATCACCATGTAAGGCTACAAGGATGCCAAAGAAATATTCTCTCAGATCTTCCAAGATCCCCTAATCAAGCAGTATACTCTGAAACTATAGGATGCCTAATACATACTCTATATACAAATTATATATATATATATATGTATATATATATATATACACGTGATTTAAGGTAACATTCCTTAGCTCAGGGATCTTGAAAAGTCTGTGTTATTCCTATGCCACGGGTGGGATGTTCAAAATGCGGTTTGTTCGGGCCTAGAGTTGAAGTAGAGTGCCGGTCGTTTCGGATTCAGGGTCTAGGGTTCAGGGTTTAGGCTTTGGGGTTTGGGGTTTAGGGTTTAGGGCTCAGGGTTTAGGGTTTGGGGTTTAGGGCTCAGGGCTTAGGGTTTAGGGTTTAGGGTTAGGGAAGAAGAAGAAAAGTAATAACAATCTTCTCAATGATCCAGCCCTAAAGCCCCAACAGAAACCAACAAAATCCCCATTTCTGGGCTTCCCTGCCGGGCCCGGTGGGCCGTTCTTTCGCCCGGCGAGCCTCTAGGGCTTTGAGGGATTTAGGGTTTACGGGTTGGGGGTTTAGGGGTTTCGGGTTCAGGGCTTAAAGGTTAGGGGTTGAGGGATTTACGGGTGTAGGGTTTAGGGTTGGGGGTTTGGAGTTTGTGGTTTAAGGCTACCTTTAGGCTGCAGGGGCTGGGTTTTAGGAGGGTTAGGGCCGATTTGGGATTCGGGTTTTCATCTGGGGAACAGGGCTTGCGGGCTCACCTAAGACTTTGGCGATTCTTTATCCTTTACCGCTGGGGTTGGTCCCTTGGCAGGCAACACATTCCCTGCCGCGGAGGAATGAAGCAAAACTGAAACCTGCA